GTGAATCAATGTTGTTTGGTTATTGAATCAAATTTCTGTTGATATTATTTGAAAAACATCCTTTCATATTTATAAAAGTATTCATAACATTTAAATCTACAGCGCTCTATTAATTTAAATGTCAATAATTTTACTAGCCTGCGTGCAGACGATAACTAAACTGCATGGAATAAAGTTTTACATGTGAAAGTTTGATGAATTCTGAGAGATTATTACATTAGATTTGATGCGGGCAGATATAGGGGAAAATTTCACAAAATAGCCTCCAGGAATACTTTAAGTTTCTGGGCGCAGCTGCAATTGACTCATGCATAACGCAAATATGAACGTTAATTAGTCCCTGCAGTCATGTAGAACTTATTTAAGTTTCTGCTACCCTAGCCTGCGAAAACATCCGTTTCTCCTCGCTCTTCGCCGCTGGGGACGTGTTTTCGCAGGCTACTGGTACTCGCAATTAGACAGAATAGTCCCTGCTTCTGTCTGTTATTATACGGGTGAACCTATGTCTTTTCTCGTTCAATTTGCATTTAGTAGCAGTCATTTGTTTTTTTTTTAAACCTCAACAATATATAGTATACACAATATATTATGTATTGTATATCTTCGAAAATTTATTATCACTGCCTTAAAAAACATGTTGAGGTTAGAAAAGCAATAGGCTTTCGAACATTATCCTAGCCTTTTGTTTTCGAGCATTTTAGTGAGGTAAAGGCATGAAGCATCAGTCGGGTATTTTTGTTACTGGAATTTTCTTGAAAGGAACAAAAAAGTATTTTATCTTTTCAGAGAAAGTGAAAGAAATTCTTAAGAAAAACGAATTGAACACTTAAATTCAAAATTCCAAAAAGACAAAATCAGACAAATAAAACGTCTTGGACGAATCTAATTGCTCAAACGAATTTAGTTCCTTTTTAATATACGTGCAGAATCGTTGAATTTTATTGCATGGAAAGCTTTGAATTCAATTCAATTCGATTCGTCTGAATTAAATTCGACGATCTCGCGATACTTGTAAAGAGGGCCCTACTACATTAAAATTGATTCTTTAAAATGTACACTGTAAACTTATTTATTCACGGGTCTAATAGGGCATAAAAACAAACCTTTCATTTAAAAATGTGAATGTATAAAACGAAGAAGTTTCTTGTCAAATAAGCGACGCACTCTATTTAAAGGTGTCAAATGGGTGGCTTGCTACTTGTTTTTTATTTCAAGCATCAGGGATGATATGCTTTCTGATTGTATGTGGCATTTTAAGGTTTTAATTATCCGATTAAAGTGCCTCTGTCTCTTTGATTTCGTTCCAGTGTTTTGGCATCAGAGATCACATTCTTGCATATTTCACAAATCTCTTGAAAAATGAGAACGCATTTCTTTTCCGCATCCGTCCATGCGTGGTCGTTCATAATAGGGCCATTTATACGAGGAAAAATAAGACGCGTCTTAAATAACGGCACATTTCGTCTAAAATAAGTCGCGTCTTAGATAAGTCGCGTCTTATTTTAGACGAAATGTGCCGTTTATACGGAAAGTTCGCGTCTTATTTAGGACGCGTCTTATTTTTCCTCGTATAAATGGCCCTAATGAATAAATTAAAACTTCTCGTGGAGACAGCGTTAGTTTTTTAAAGGCTGGTTTTACTAGCGACTTAGTACGATTCTAGTTTTTAAAGGCTGGTTTTACGTAGCGACTTAGTAGGATTCTTAATCGTAGTAGCGACCATGACCTGGTCAAAACCAAAAATCGGAGTCGTAACCGAAGTCACAAGTGCGATGGAGTCGAAGAGTCGGGAGCAGAAGCGCTTTGTGATTGGTTTAGTTCTTTCACTTTTACTTGGGACTCCGACAAGCCTGCTTTCACTAGATCGTAAGCGACGGAGTCATATCTGTTCAGTCATCTGGGCAATCACAAGGCTGTTTTGACCGGATCATAACGTTCTTATACTGTTCAATGATTACAACTCCGACTCTGTCTTAACCATTCCATCCTGCTCACTTAGCATAGAACACAATATTGTGTATATAGCACAATATTGTTATGACCAGCTTTTGTATCTGACATGATTCTCTCTTTCAATTAAGAATTTGTAGCAGTGGTTTTAATTTGTTGCGCGTCTTCTTAATTGTTGTTCGCATTAACATCTTATACGAATTCACTCTATTACAACGATATTATAATGTTATGCATTAGCTCAAGTTTTTTTTTCGTAGTCTCTCTGCACAATCCCGAAGAGACAACTATCGATCATAGTTATAATCATAAATGATGGTTCTGAATTTTAATGAGAAAGGTCATGTGACGATAGTTAAGTTGATTGAATAAGCATAAATCCTGCAGAACCCGGGTCCTACTTGGTCTTGCAGCGCTCGCATTCCACAAAACTAAAGCTAATAGATCAGTGATATAAAATTCCTTGTCGTTGCCTTTCTTGTGTCCAAAGTATGTGCATTACTTCTTTACTTTTCTCTTAACATGATCCCCGGTACATGATCCTGTTTGAAAAAAGAATCGAACGTGGCTCAGACAGAGAACACTTCGGCTTATATCATTGTTCTTCTGTTTGTTTTTCTTTTTTCGATTGTTCACCAAGTCGCAAAAATCACGAGTAATCGAGCAAACTTTCACTGTCTTTATTGGGTTAACAAATCTCAGTATTATTCTCCGTTAAGTCCTAATTTCCCTTAACCTGTTCTCAAACAAGTTAACGTGGACAGTAAAAAAATGAATTCCTAAAAGTCCTTAAAAATCAGTAAAATCTTGCGGAAAAAGAGAAGGATGTCCATATCGTTGTAAATTGAAAGTCAAAGGTCTTTTGAATTGAGTAACGGAAGCAATTTTAGTAAGTTTTACCTGAATATTCTTCAACGCCTGTTATAACTTTCTTTGTCAGTGTTTTCTTCAGGTCCTCGCCCAGGTCTTATATTGATTGTCGTCCCAATGGCGTCTTGTCACTCGTTTGCGCCGTTCGCTCTAACATTATACACCCCAAAGCAAAAATAACTACAAGGGCCAAGATGGCCAACGTTAAGTCAAAAAACATTTTTCCTGCTTTCTTGTTTTCGATTGCTAGATAGGTGCTCAGCCACTGATCAACTCACACCACACAAGCTGGATACGCGGGCCTCTGCAGTGCCCTCCTTTATTATAGCACTCTTATGGTGAGATACGTCAGCAACAGCTCATCGTTTGGCTAACTACAACTATGACGTACTTCGCGTGGGGACTCCCCTTACATTACCAATTGTCAAGCCTACTTGAAAGTGCGTGCCATAAACTTGTTTTTTACTGAAACATGTATATGCGTCATAGAACAAGAACAAAACGAACTAAGCGTGAACTTTTAACAAAGTCTCTCGAAGACCTTGAAAATAATACGCACGAATGCTTACACGTGTAAAGTGATTTATTTTTTGGTATTTCAAGAAATTCAATTAAGTCTTAGCAAGAGAGAATGATGAATTGGTCTTAGATTATAACTATTTATGCCAAGGAGGAACAAAATTCCGGCTACATTGAAGGGTGAAAAAAAAAACAGTATTTAAAATTGCACGTTTAAGTTATGGTAAAATACGTAAGGAAATTCTCTCTTGGTTAGGGTATAACGCAGAATTTGTGAAATTACAAATCCAATTTCATCGCTGTTATTACGACAACACGTTAAATTTCTGAAATATAGACCGCAAGTTATTTGATTGAATTTTTTAGGGTTAGTGTCCAAGAAGGCATAACGAATAAATACACCCACAAACATTGAATTCCCTGAAGTTTTCCCGAAGGTAAATGAATTTCTTAGGGACCGTGTCCGTCTACATACGTAAAGAATTAGCCTGTGTAGAGACCCCACCTCCCTACGGGGAAGGGGGTCTGTACACAGGCTAGAAAAGAATGAATATAATTTTACAGAATGTACAGGGATTCCCCAAGTATTGCCGCGAAAATTCTGACAATCAATCAAAAACTAGAGCGCTCGGGAAAACTGCATGAGTGTTTTCATTTAGACGGAAACGAGAGCCAAATAGGAAAGAAACAAATTAAGCGTAGCAGGAAAGGAAATCTCATAGGCAATAAAGAATGTAATATACCGTAAAATTCCGAAAATAAGTCCCCTGTGTATTTCAGTCAGTCTGAAACAACTGTATATTTAACTGACGTCGGTAATAAAACATCGGAAACTAGAGGACTGGCCGCTTCTTGAATTCTTCACGGTCAGGCTTTTGCCTCGGTAGTTCAATACACTAGTTTCAGGATCGCGGTTCAGAGATCAATAGGCAGTTTCCATACCTGCCCTCCTCATTGATTTGCAGGTATTACAGAAGATCATATGACCCGCATAAATTTAAAACTATTAAACCCACGATATTAAAAGATTCAACCAACAATTCTAATAGTAAAACATGATATCCGTTTTAAATTTGTCGAAACGTTGTAATTTTATTTTATTATTCCGTCACAAAGACATGAAGGTTTGCATTGATCCGGAAAATTAAGTTATTGCTCTTTCTACCTCTTCATCAGTTTACGAGTATTTCCGTTACGAAAGCATTTTTAAATCTTTACCATGTAATAGCAAGTGTTCTAGTTCTTCTAATTACGTTTCTACAGCTAACTTAAAATTCTTCTAATGTGTTATTTAAGTCTCAGCCTGGCTAACGTGGTATCATAATTATCACGTCTCAGTAAATGTTTCTTAACAGTTGCCTCCATTGCCTCATTTGAGCCTCTCTTCACGAGACGCTGCTGAAGGAAGAAAATTTATGCAAACTAAGTAGTCAGCTGAGTGGTGAGGACTTCTAGAACGTAATCTTTGTTTTTCTTTTTCGTTTTTTCTTTGTTTTGTTTGTTTGTTTTTCTCGATTATGTGTTAATTTGCCAAAAAAATTGGGCAAACACAGGCTGGAGCAAACATAGACTTCACAAGCGTATACAACTATTTGTAAAACTACAAGTTGACCGATATGACTGCAGCAATTGGAAGTTATAACATCAAAACTGTAATCGTATCTGAATAATGTGCCGCGACGATTGTAAGGTTCGTCGTCGTCGTTTTCCTCTGGCCTTCGCCTTTTCTTGTGCTGACTGTCACGACAATAGTAGCGTGTCACTCTTTTAATTTTCTTCTCATCTGGTCTTCTTCCTGCTGAACTATCAATTCGTCCCCTTCCCAGCATTATGCAGCCTAGGAAAACGATGGCAAAGGAAAAAAAGGCCAGGAAGGCCAAGAAGGCGAACTCTGACTCAGAAAACATTCTATTCGAACTTATGATCTCTTATAAGCCGGCACACGACTCTGTGGAGTGTTGCTGTGCACCTTGTAAAGGGGCAACACTTGTTAATTATTCATGCGGGGATGATAAATAATGTATATCCGCGTCGGGTTATACACCTGTCTCGTGTGGCTTAAAACAGCTATCTATCTCACGGTCAAATATTTACTCACGAGTGCTTGGCGACACTACTTTAATGACCAAACATTGATTTTAAAAGAAAAGAAGAATTTTAGAATCATTTAAAACCTATCGTAAAAATGGAAACGGATATTTGCATTAGGGAGACTAAAACGGTTTCAAAACTAAAAGTGTGGAGCGAGTTTGTTTTAAACGAAAAAAATATACTTTTTCAAAAGATATGGGAACATGCGGAAGGGGCCTAAAGCCAAGGTTTCCTCAGAAACTCATAAGGCGTTGAACAACCCCTTTTGAGTTTCTGGTTTCCTATGTTCATTTCTTTGTTAATTTCCTCACATGTAAGCTAAGCAGTTAAATACTGTGAAACTACCAATGGCGCATTGTCACTAACACAATCGTTTTTCTTTTCCATTCAGTTAATGTCAATTTCACTTTAAAATTTTTCACAAAGGCGGTAAATTTTATTATTAAATCATTTTCAAAAGTGAACTGAAAAAGTTAGATGTCTCTGAATACATTAACAGTTCTGTAGCGATTATTGATGAGTTCATTCCTCTGTAATTTCTTACTGAAGTACTTCATGTGTCTTTCTTATGTCTATGATCAGTTCAGCTTGGTCACGTTGAGACCATCAATTTCCGAGCACTCAAGAACAGAGGAATGAAGTTGCCTGAAATGACTTTTCAGGCATTTAAAGGCGCGACGGGCAACACGCGCGTACTAGTGTTTTACAGGTATTACGGAGAAAATAATCTTACGCGGCCGTGATTTTATCGGTGAGAAATCTTTTACTATGCCTGTGCCATTTGATTCAGTTTACTTTCATTTGGTAAACAATTTTATAACCAGTCGGAAAGTTATTCCAAAAATTATCGGTTTGACCCAGTAAGCGTGTGATGTACTTCCCACTTTCGCCTCAGATAGATTTCCGTCAGTTTATTTAATGTAAAGCTTTGTTTTGTGTTTGTTGTTTTTGTTTGTTTGTTTTTTCCTTTTCGCAGCCGTTTTCGGTAATTAAATGAAACTAATTTGTGCAAATAGTAAAAGCGATTCCGTGATGAAATATTCAAGTCCTGAGTTTTGCTTTCCATTTGACAATTGCCCATGTGAATAGAAAACAACCTGTAAGGCCTCTATTTTTATCAGGGGATTCCCCGCCAATAACATACAGTCTTCGATTGGCTTGATAACTGACCCGTGAAGAGCTGTCATTAAATGTTCGAATGCATTGTTTAAAGTGCGATATGCGATACATGCAAACAAAATGCGCAAACATGCAAATCGAAAACTTAAATTGATATTTTAAACAAGACAGTTAAGCCATCTTCATCACTTTCTATGTCAAGAAGAAAAAAATAAACGGCAACGGGGACTGAAATAAGCAAAAATAACATCGCATTTACTCAGTCGTACTGGTTGACAAGCGTATCTACTTCGTCATTTTTTAAGGCAAACAACTTCAATCGCTACTTTGAATTTTGTTGACCCTGTCGCAGCCTATTCGTTAGCCGGAGAGTTGAAACACTTTCACAGTTTGACGCTTATTCTTTGTCTGTTTTAAAACCACTTGATAATTTCAGCGCATGCCAACTGGTCATGCAACTGACTGAAGTATTTTGTCGTTAAGCATTGAAGGGGCGCTAATGGGCAACACGTGAGAAGATTTATGAAACGAATTGAAGTCAAGAAGGCCACCCAGCCTTCCCACTTGGTGTCCTAGGTGTACGAAAGGGCAGGGAGAATATCTGCATCTTTCGCGGTCGTGAATTTGTCATCGAGATAAATTTTAACCGTGAAATTTCCTTAAAAGCATTAAGTTTAGATCATTTTAATATACTAAACAATTTACCTTACCGAGTTGACTTTGTAAGCGTGTGATTCTCTCCTCTAATCAGTAAATTCAGTTTTATTTGATGTAAAGCGCTCTCTTTGATTTTCCAGTTAACTGCTATATAAACAGACCCGCATTTTGAAGAACAACGCTCGAAACACGAACGAAACTACAGAGAAGCTTGCGCATGCAAATCGACGTTTTTTAAGAACTTCATTCTCATGGTTGACATGGTGACGATGAGGAGTTGAAAAAAGGGCCAATATAGAAGCTTTGATGCTGGTAGAAGACTTAAGGATAATTCTAAAAATAATTCTAACTGCCTGCTGCTGGCAGGGTATTTCCCGAGCCGTTAGGCGAGTGAAATTTGAGACAATTTTGAAATATCACGAGTGGTATTTATGCCAAATTATATCACGTACAAATCATGCTATTATTTGCTTTTATAAAATAACTAAGGCAGTGCGCTCGTTCTGATTGGTTAAAAACCTATGGTTTATCGTGCCGGTAAACTCATAGAAAACTTGAAGTTATTTAAACCCATGGAAAGTGTGTTCTATTGCTTAAATACTACTACCCGCAAAGGTTTTGTAATTTTCACATGTAGATATTTCAGCTAGCTGAAATACCACCGCTCTAAACCAATCAAATTGCAGAAATTTCTCATGTAGTCGTATAACCGAGGATATTGTGTCTCACTTTGACATACTCCTACACTAATAGTACATACGTGTATAGTTGTCCTGGGTCTCCGAAGATGCTGTGCTTAGAACAGCATATGCATATCTAAGGCGTGCTTTTATTGTCTTACAAGATAGGACAATAGAAGGTCATCAGTCGGAAATGCTGTTTTGTTAACTTTAAAGAAGAATCTTGGTCCTTGTAAAAGGAGAAAATAAACACGGCTGAGTAGAAGTCACCCAAGAAAGCCATAATGATATTGTACACTGCTTTCATTCTTTTATACTTTACTGAAACGGATAGAGAGCCCAGTAATTTTAATTTCCAGCTTAGTTTTACCACGTCTAGTGACCCATGAAAGTTTAATTTTCAAGCTTTATAAATTGTTTGTAGAACGAATTAATTAAAAACTTGGTCCAATATCATTCCTGCAGGAGGCCGTCATTGTCTTGTCTCTCAATACGCGCCACTTTAAACGTTTCTCTTTAAATTATCCTGGAAGAAACGGATGCAAAGAAGATCAGAACAAAGAGAAAATTCTCTTAATTTATTTTTCTATTCGTTTAGTCCTTGGTCTTTATTCTGATGCTCACTTAAGACGCCTACATCACTTAAATGAAGCTAACATTAACCCTTATTATTTTATTGTTGTGTTAACCTGTTGCTAGCTACATCTTTTTATTGACAAGTTGATCAATATGATAGCAGTAAAAAAAAAATGGCCAGAGAGAAGGATGTAAGTAACGCTATTACTGCAAGAAAAATTATCAGTTCTAACGTCAGCGAGGCCACAGGCCGTATGTCGATTTCAGTACTTGTCAGCAGGTGTTATATTTGCTTGAAATTAAGCATTTAAAGGCGCGAAGGGCAACACGCGCGTCTTAAGATTAAAGCGGATTCAAGTTAGGTGAGAAAGAAAGCTTCACAATGTTTTACAGGTGTTATTGCCTATACAGGGAAAACCTTTGAATCTTACGCGGCCGTGATTTTGTTGGTGAGAAATCTTTTAGTTTGCCTGTTCCATTTGCTTTCGTTTATAAATTTTATAACCAGTCGGAAAGAACTCCCAAAATTAGCGGTTTGACCCAGTAAGCGTGTGATGTACCTCGCACTTTCACTTCCAATTTCAGTCAGTATATTTAACGTAGAGCCCGCTTGTTTTGTTTTGTGTGTTTGTTTGTTTGTTTGTTTTTCGTTTTCGGTAAATAGAACTAATTTGTGCAAATGGTAAACGCGATTCCGTAATGAAAATTTCAAGTACTGAGTTTTGCTTTTTATAAGCGACCAGTTTGCCCATGTGAATAGAAAACAACCTAGAAGGCCTCGATTTTTATTAGGCCGGGATTCCCCGCCAATAACATACGGTCTCCAATTGGCCAATTTACTGACCCGGCAAAAACTGTCAGTAAATGTTATAATGCACTAATACGTTTACTAGACCCTTACTTTTATGCTACAAAGCCCTATGCGTACATACAAAAAAAAATGCTCAAAACATGCGAATCGGAAAATTTAATTGCTATTTTAAAAACAAAACAGTTAAGCCATCTTCATCACTTCATCACGGTTACAGTTTATTCGTTTGCGTTTCTTCTTGTTTGGCCTTCTTACTGGAGGAATGTCTCTTCGTCTTCTTCCCAACATGAAACAGGCAAGTGTAACGATGAAAACAAAGGCCAAAAAGACCAGCTCTGACTCAGAAAACATTAAGTTTGGGTATTTTGTTTTCTATAGAAGCGAGTTCCTTCACCTCCAATATCCTCTTACTTGTGACACGCAAAAGCTGTCGGTGCGTGTCATATGTACTCGTTGAATTAAACCAGTGACCCGAACGAATGACTTTATTGGCTGCTTCTGTTTGTTATCCAAATAAAATATACCAACCTCACTCCATTCTAATAAAAGTTCCTCCGTGTTAATAGAGTTCTAAAGTGATGACGTCATAAAAATTAAATTTGTTAAATTATGGGATTTGTGAAGAAAATTTTCGCTTTGCTACATTACGCTGAACAAGGGAACTAGGAGCCGTTAAATACGCTAATTTGGTACCGCTTCACTAAACTTTTCGAACCTCTGTGCTTTCGTATAGAGGCTACCTTCGAGAAGCCAAGCCAGATTTAGATGAATGTCTAAATGTGTGATTTAACTAGGATTTGGAGATATACCACATGTTAAATTTTGCCGTCAATAATAAGTATTAAACTTAAGTTTCAGTCGTTATCGTGAAAAGCTATTCCTAATTTTTGAATTATTTCAGTTCAACAATTCTCGCTTTTGCCCTGAAAGTATCTTTTACTGAAAGAGCAGGAGTTTTTCTGTTGATGGGAAGTATCCAAATTGCCCTGTGCGACTTTGTTTGCAAACGCGAGGAAAGTTCATCTGGGCGGATTTCAGATTTAAAATAAGGCCATTTTGAGACTCCGACTTCTAAACTTGGCTAACAGGCTTTCGGTGGAATCAACTCACTTCACGTTTTTTATCTATCTAAATACTAAGCCAGTTGTGTTGTGGACTCGGGCGCCAACTTATGACAGAAGCAAGGACAAAAAGGAAGCTAAAAGGAAGACTCTTAAAAACTCATATCGACTTAAGGGTAGGAATGTTAAAAAAAACATTTCACCTGGATATATTTCCTTGACGGGTATAAGGTTCGTTGTCATCGTTTTCTTCGGGTTGCCGCTTATTCTTGCGCTGATTGATCATACAATGGGGGTATATCTTTCTTTTGAGTTTCTCTTTGTTTTTCGTTGTTGCTGCTGTATAGTCATCTCCTCTCCTTTTTCTTCGTAGCAATATGCAGCCCAGGATAAAAAAGGAAACAAATACCAACAATGCCAATTCTGACTCAAAAAACATGAAGTCTTCTTATTTTGTTTTCTTTTTTGGCTTTTTGATAGAATCGAGCTCCTTCACTGCTGATTAATTCTCACATAAATTGTCTTTTGGCCGCGTTCTGATAATTTTTAAACAAGAAGCTCACTGATCAATCCACAAGCTGGAAACGGCCAACCATAAGCTCAGTCGAAACCGCGAATATTGAAACTATTGTTTTCTCTTTTTATGCAGACGTTATCGCCTTCGGATCTTGAGGAATTTTTTTTTCAGGATGACTGCATTTCACGAATGAGTGCTTCGATTTCAAAACCATTTAAAACGATATTTGGCAAGGGAAGGGCGGAACAAACACCAGTCATAATAGTAATACAATCAATTCTCTTTTCATCTCTCAATTACATCTTGCGGTCTAAGTTGGAAAAACAAACCATCTCTAAGCCAAAGAGGACTTTTTAGATCAGCAAAGTTGTCAGTTAGTGTACGTCTGCCACTAGCCAAGTAACACAAAGACAAAGCAATGATAACGTTGACACTCGACAAAGCAATCTCACATCATTCTGCTAGAAGTGCGTTTACAGTTGCGAAGCTTCGCCAACAAGTTACAAGTGTGATCGAGTTCCGTATAACGCTGAAGTAGTGAAGTTAGTACGGTATATTGAAGTATCGGAGGTTTGAATACAAGGATATCAGTTTTCGATAAGAAGGAGCTAACTTGGCTTTCTCAGTACTCTGACAATGTACCTCTCTAAGGAGTTTGTTATAAAATGACCAATTAGATAGTGATGCTTGTTAAACTGGAGTGGTCAGAAAAAACTCGATAAACAGCGGTAATCAGCTTTTTCACAGACCCTCTATTTTCTCTCTAGAGATCGTTGAGCGCACGTATGGGGACTTATTGACTTCAAGCGCAAGTTCTTTCTCGCGTGCTCGGAAATTATTCAAAAGAAAAAGAAAACAATGTCTGTGTACAGGTCAAGTGGAAAAATCTGCGAGCAGTGTAGTGTTGTAGCAGCCGTCCGAATTTGTTCGTTGAATGTTATTCCGTAAATATCAATACAAGCGAACGCAACTCACTCATAATCCTGCGCACAAAGGAACCAAACAAATCCATTTGAACGTGAACTGATTTGTTCTTTGTACGATTTCAGTATTTATTTGAAGCCTTGAAGGCAACTCACTCATGCAACCAAACAAAACCAATTAAACGTCAACTGCTTCTTTCTTCGCACGAATTCAGTATGTTTTTTTCTTTCTTAAGTCTTTATTGAATGTACAACTCAAAATACATACCTATATTTACATGTTTAATATTATTAGTTAAAAAAAGTAAAGTATATTTAAAACGTTCCGTGTTAATACAGGGTAGTAGGCTTGTTTGAGTTCTCAGGCGGTTCGAAGATTCTTAACTCTGGGCAACAAATTTACAGCGGATAAGTAGGTAGGCAGCTAATCCTCTAGGAGATTGACCTGTCTGTCTTTTTAAGCAAATCGTTTATATCTGTAGCACAGAATATAAAACGGCGTTTATGACATCTGCTAAGGAACTGCTGCTACCGGTAAACCATACGAAATTTTAGGTAAAATCCTTCCTTCCTTGAGCTCGTTAACATATAGAGGCACTTATTCGCTTCGAAGAGTTTTCGTTCAACATGTTCTGTAAATCTGGCATTGCCCCGGAAAGTCACTCCGAGTGGCACTTATTTCGGCCTGCTCTATATTACCAATAGGACTAAGATTTGCTTGTCCTTTTTTTCTTCAAAACTAATTCTTTACACTTGGATAGATTGGAAGGCATATCAGTTAGTACTTGACCAGCTAAGGTATTGCGAAATTACATCACTAGCACAATCAGTTCCGGCCTTATTTACAATAACTTGCATCGTAGTATCATCGGCATATTTACTAACAGGAGTATCAGGACAGTTTACAAGATCGAGATTATTAGTATGTTTTTGAAGGCAACTTACGTACTTATAATGGAACCAAAGAAAACCAATGAAGCGTGAAATGCTTCTTTCTTGGCATGAATTCTATGTTATTCGGAAATTTTAGATTTAGAAGAAATTAATAAAAACGAAAAAGAATAGGAGATTATTAGTTTATTTATGGTTCAACTGTTGCGTTTTTCTTCTTCATCAGTCTAATTTCCAGCATTACAGTTATGTTATATGGGAGCAATTGTTATTTCGAAGGCATTGTTGATTCTTTGTAGTGAAGAAGTTACATTTTCTAAGTTACCATTTTGCAGCTTATTCCAAAAAAATATCCTGGGTGATGTCTTCCGTCCGTCTTCTCAGCCATCATTCATTAGCTCTGCATGTAGTTAATTTAAAATGCGTTATGGCTGCACGTGGAAATGAATATTTTTAATTATGCGTCTTGATTGCTCCTCTGTTTGGCCTATGACAAGGATACTTTAACTGTTAAAAAAAAACATTCCAACACAAGGATATTATAACATTTATAAAGGCATTCATTAGCTCAAGTTTTTTTCAAAGTCTCTCTGTACAATCCCGAAGAGGCAGTTATCGATTGTTGTTCTCAACCATAATAATGGAAAATTTTACAGGTAAAGGTCACATGACGATAGTTCATTGAATAAGCGTATTGAAATCCTGTATCATCCGTGTGTGTTAGGTCATGCATGGCTCGCATTTCACAAAACTGAAGCTAATCCATGATATAAAATTCCTTGTAGGTGTCCTTCTTGCGCCTTGGTGATGATCATTTCAAAATACGTGTATCACTACTTTAAATTCTCTTAACATGATCCCTGGGACATGATCCTGGAAGAAAAAGGCTTTAATTGTTCTTCTTTTTGTTTTTCTTTTTTCGATTGTTCACTAAGTCGCAAAAATCACGAGTAATCGAGCAAACATTCACGTTGTTGGGTACACAAACCTCACCTAAGTCCCCCTTATTTTTCTTAACTGACCAATTCTTAGATACGTTTTTAAGGACAACAATTAATATGATTCCTCTAACAACATAAAAATCAGTACACTCTTTCAACAAAAAATAAATGTAAATTGAAAGTCAAAGAACTTTTGAATTCACAGCATAACGACATGAGAAAGTCTTACCTAAATATTCCTCAATGCATGTTATAACTTTCTCCGTCAGTATTTTCTTCGGCTTCTCTCCGGGTATCATCGTAATGGCGTCTCGTCTTCCTTTGGCGTTTTCTCGGTTTCCTTTTTGGCTTTACTGCCCTTGAGGTATCATTTCTTCTTTCTACCATTATACATCCCAAGGCAAAAATAAAAACAAGGGCTAAGATGGCCAACGCAAAATCAGACAACATTTTTCCTGCTTTTTTGTTTCGGTAGACGGGATCAAACTCAGCTATCGAGCAACACTGAGAAAAACTGGATGTGCTTGCCTCAGTGCTGTCGTTTACAACAGATATGTCGTGCAAGCAGCAGCTCCTTTACTCATACTCTCGCTATAAGGGAATTTCCCGCTTGTTTCTGACTGGTTCATTACTAGCTTTTGGGCAGTATTTTTTTCTTCGGAGTCAAAGTTCACGAGTTTTATCACGTCATTTGCTATTGTCTTTTCATAAATGATCAGCATGTATTTGCATATATATCGTCATATTAAGTAAGAGGGAAATAAACTGATATCGCTATAACTGATATCGGCAACACTTGCCACTTCCACCTTCGCCAATATAAGGTGTTACAACCATTACTCGTTCGTGAGCCAAGCAAATCAAAGATAAAATGCTCGAAGACTCTTCACTCATGTCAAATCAGGTCAAGGCAATTTTTATTTAAATTCACAATACAAATCAGTGCTTTTAAATGTAAAAATAAAAGATTGTGAAGGAAAAGAAATTTTTCAATTTTAGGCTCATCGTGCAGAGTTTG